GGAAGTTTTGTAGTGATTTAGATACCACCATTATTTTCGTTTTGTTGATATTAAATGATAATCCGTATTCTGTACTGCATTCTGCTACTCTGTTAATTAGTATCTGAGGCTCTTCTGGAGTTTCTGCAATTACAACCGTGTCATCGGCTTATTTTAAGTTGTTTATTGGGATGCCATTTATTTTAATACCAATATCTTGCTCTGAAAGTGCTCAGTTTATGATGTCTTCTCAGTATAGGTTGAATAAGATTGGTGGGGGTATACATCCCTGTCTTACGCCTTTCTTAATCTCGATTTCCTCCGTTGTCTCTTGCTCTATTCGAATATTCGCTTTTTGGTTATAGTAAATCTTGGAAATTATCCTGATGTTCCTTTTATCCAAGCTTTTTTCTACCAGCAGTCTCATTAGATGTTCGTGACGTACTTTATCCAACGATTTGTTATAGACAATTATGCACAGATACAGCGTGTCCCGGAATATGTAGGCATGCTCTCGGATTTGTACAGGGGACGTTAAAACAAAACATAATTTTTATTAAAAAAAATTCAGAGGGTCTTCTACGGAGATACAGGCCTCTAAAGCAGCCAGCTAAGAATCAATCAAAGGTCGACTAGAGAATTCACCGAATCACCTTCCACAATCTTGAGAAGTTCCGACGTAAGCCCGTCGGGACGCGGTGATTTACCATTCTTCATTGTTTTTATAGCGTATAGTATTTCTTCTTTAGTTATTTCTGGTCCTTCGTCGCCTTGTATGCTATTTATAGTATGTTCTTGTCTTTCATCGTCCATTCAATTCTTCTAGGTACATAATTCTTCCAAGTCGTAAGCTTTGATCGGTTATCTCCATTTGCGTTGCATAATAGATTGGAATGCATTTTTCTTTCCTAATATTTAATTTTGTTTGTTTCAGCATTTGTCATTATGTGTTTCAACTTTATCCTCACATTGACATCGCTTAGTTTAGTACACGACAAGGTTCCAGACCGGAAATTGTATGGTCCACTTCCCGATGTTTTCTTGCTAAATGTTCCTGCCTACGACTGGGCTCTAGATGTTTCAGAATACATTATTATTTTTTGTGTAAATTCTTGCATGATCACCATGATCTTTCATAAACATAGGTCAGTATATTGTATTCTTTTTCCAGTAATGTTCTATTATGCGAAATATAGTAAATTGCTGTGCTAACGATCTTTATTTGTATTTTTTAGGTTTATAGTATTCAGGAGGATATTCCTGATAATGTCGTTGCTCTACATGTACAGAGCGATTACAATGTACGTCACCGTCTTGCCTCTTTCAAGCACAACTTATGTGTGCTCGCCAACGTCCAATGACACTTCGCCAAGTCTGATCATGAAACGTGTGCTACATCTCATGAGTGGCTTTGGCCTGTCCGTAAATGGCAAGCATACATACTGTGGAGACTTTATCTACAGCGGGCACACAGTGGTTCTAGTGTTTAGTTACCTAGTTATATCCGAATGTGAGTATTTATATTAAAGAAAGTATCTGTTTGTTTAACTGTTGTTGCCTTCCTTTCAGACACTCCCAAGAAATTCTTCCTCTTGAGAATCGTTCATTGGCTTTATTGGATTTTGGGTCTGATCGGTGTAATCATGCTTCAACTGTCTCATGGGCACTATACCGTTGATGTAATAATAGCCTACTATGTTACCACTAGGATATTTTGGATATATCATACGTTAGCAAATAATGCCAACCTCAAAGTAAGTATCGTAATTTTTTTATGTTGAAACAAACAGTGGGAGTTCTTGAATCCGTTCCCTGTTTACCAATTCACAATATAGTTACTGTTGAATGCGACGCGAAAAGTAATTTTTTATTTCAGCAATTCTCCTCGAATAATCTTCTAAGCCGCACATGGTGGTTCGCTCTCTTCCTCTACTTCGAAGGTAACGTTGGAGGTCCAATTCCGCGGCAGTTCGATTGGCCTTTACCGTGGCCCCGTAGGTGGCACTCCAAAGGCAATCGGGCTAGTTAGTGAACATTTCAATCGAGCTTACGAAAAAACTGTTTGAAAATTTTGAAATATACATGTGATAATAATATAAGTGTTAGAGCCTTAAAGTGACTTTACAAGTGTGTTTATGCTCTTTGAGGGTTAGCTGTTTAGGGGCTGAATCGCTGGTTGATATTCGGAAACCGTACATTGGGTTCCTTAGGCGAGATTTTACTTTTTTACCTAGTTTTCATTCTACATTTGAATCAACTGTTTTTCAGGTAAGAATTGTTAATAATTTGCTGGTTTAGAATAGTTTGGTAAAATTTGCAAAACGCCAATTACCTATACATCTCTAATAGTTTTTCCCAATATCGGGAAACTGCTACTGTAGGCATTGATTTGCGTTTTTATTTGATCAATTAATTTTTTGTAAACTGTGGCTAGTTCTGAATTATTTTCAATAATCAAATGCTGTTTTAGAATTTTTAGTTAAAAGATGGGAATTCTTCGAAAGTAATCTATTGCAATGAAGAAAATAACATACTTTTTAAAGTGTCCTAACGGTGAACTGCAACATATGGTTCCAAAACATGTTGAAGCTTTAAAACTAATAAGATTCAGCCTTATATGCGAATAACCCTGTATATTTTGGTAAGGCCATTTTTTTTCAATACAATCCTTAAATTACTCTATAGTCGATCCAACTACACCCTATGGTAGGAAAAAGCACTGATTTTCGTCTGGTGATTTTATTTTAACTCAAAACGTTTCCTACATATATTTCCGAGAAAAAGTTATTTTATATTCATGTTTCAGTAGCTTTTTTAAAGTGAAGATAGAAAAATCGGTATATATATATGTATGTATATTTATAGCAAAGGTTTAATTGATATTGTTAGATTTTGTAATTATTTATATAGTATATAATATAGTTCATATGGAATCACAGGTTAAATGGAACGGAAGGGTGAAAGATGAGAAATTGATTTCGAATTGAAATTGGTGCGTCGAGTTCTCAAGATGACTAATTTCAGTTATTTGTTGAAAGATGTAATTGATAAGAATTTGTTTGTAAAGAATTGTAAAGTTTGAAATTTCGCACTTCGTCGCTCTTCTATAAAAGAATCAACTGAGACGAAGATGTCTGACACGATTGCACTGCTGATTTGTGTTTTGCTAAATGGAAACTGAATTAGTGCTGGATATACAATCAGGTTTCTAATAAAATTCTACTAAATTATTTCCAATTGAAGAAGTTCTTGGAGCCATTTTTACATAGCGGTATACATATGTTTTTGTCGCAATATATTTTTTTAAATTAGCCCTAACTATGGTTATTTATATTATTGCCAGTCAAATGCGTTGATCACTATTTTTTATTGTATTCGTGACCCATATTTTGTAATAAAAGTTTGATTTGCAACGGCACTTTGCAAAAATCTTGTCTTCTTTCTCAGTTCTCTTCCAAAGCTCTCAACGTCGTTCTGTTTTCAGCTGAATTATTTTGTATAGAGTTTTATTGTAGTAATACGTTTTCTAGCATTGTATCTAGGTTTTTAAGATCTCGTTTAGCGACTGATTTAAAAAAATATAATTTGGTAAAATTTGTTACTGAAAAAAATGCAAAATTTGAATCTCAACTTTTACAGTCGTATAATTTGAAGCGCGTTGTAGCAGGGAAATTGGGGCGTTAAGCAATCAAATGTTTGCCACATTTAAATAATTGGGCAGATTTTTGTTTGTTTGCCGTTAAGCTATATGGCTTGTACAATTATTTATTATACTTAAGACAATATGACTTGTTTGAAATTGAATATTCTAAAGAAAGTAAACTATTTTTTTAACCGGTGTATTTGTGTTTTATTAGCAGTATCCTTGTAGTATGGAAAGTGTAGTTTTCACTAATCACAGTAAATTACGATATATACAGGGTGATTCACAACCTCATAGACACAGAACAGGGGCGTGTAGAGGACCTCAAAACAAATCGAGTTTCCATTTAAGTTTTTTTCTCAGGCCCATGGTTAACAAGATACAGGGTGTTAAAGTTTCAAAAAAAATTTGGTATTTTCTCTCTAACTCCTACAGTTTATGAGATATTTTGTTCAAATTTTTAACGCGATTTAAAAATGGTTTGGCCAAGATCTCACGCAACGTTTTAACGTGATATCCTCCAATAATGCAATAAACAGTAAATAATGCAGTTATTCGGACGGATCCTAGCCCCTGAAAATCGCTAACACGAATCGTTTAGCAAAAAAGAATTTTATAAAATTTTCAAATTTGGAAAAAATAGCCCGAAATCTGAATAGTGTGGCCACGATCACACGTAACGTTTTGCTGGTTTAAAAAAATCTAAATAGGTTGGCCAGGATCACTCACGGTAAAAGTAATGCTAAACATACCGAAAGCTGCATTATACCACCTGGAAAAAAAAGAAAAATCAGTATTACATATTACATAAACTTAAAAAAAAAAACGAATAGGAAACTGAATAAAATTTTAAATGTCTCGAAAACTCAACTCAGTTCAAGTTAAGGATTTATAGATTAATAATACTTACCTGCTTTTTGGAAACTTGAGCTCCATTGTCTATCCATTAAACTTCAAAAAACACACACTACACGAACACACAATGAGAATCCACATAAAGTTGAAAATAAATTTGGATTACGCTCAGCAATTAACCGGTAAAATGATCGACCATTCGTGCCTAAATGGCACTAAATTGGTACTTTTATCCCGTTTATGAACAAAGAATCGACAACCGACTTAGTCTGTTGCCCATAATAGACTGAACCTTTCCGATAAAACTCATGCGAAATTAAAGTGTTTATTACATAAAAAACGCACCGAGGTACAGAACTTAGATAATGATATACATAATCGTTTCGCTCGCTGGCCCTTTGTGTGACTCAATGTATTGCTATGCTGTGAGTTCAGTTTTTTTCTTATTCTTATATATTATTTATTCGATTTTCTACAAGTTTCCAGTCCGCGATCGATCTGGTTTGGAAATTTAGCGTAAACAAAGTTGCTTTTTCGGATAAAGATAAGCAAACATCGCCGAGCATGGGGAGACTTTTGAATCCTAAATTAAATACTCGCTCTCCGGTCAATCGTTTGCTAATTGTCATGAAACGAGAAAACCTTTTTAGCTTGATCTATTGGGAGAGGCTGCACAGTTTTTAGCAGATCCAGCAGAATCAAAGTAAACCAATCGCAAAATATGCCATGATTTGTGAATGCTGCTCTTTGATTGCACTATTAAGAGCGACGGAAAATTCGCACTTTTACTCAACGTCAAGCTTTCCTTTAAAAATGTATAACTTCCCATTTAGAGCAAGTAGCAACTTAAAACTTTCACATCCTATAGAAGACTTCAATTTCACTAGTCTGATTTTTGCCAACGGTTTGAAAACTGGGTCAAAAATTCGCATTGAAGATGTGGTCGCAACAGAACACCCCTATTTTACATAGTAAAGCAGGCTACTGTGGCCAACTACTGTTGGATAAAGTCCACTCAAATGGCCGATCCAGATTCAAGATTCAATATAGTTTAAACAAATGATTAAATGGCAGATCCATATTCAGCCCAGCTCATGATTTGCCATCGCTTTCTTCTGCTCGCAGCATTAAAGCGACGAAATACTGAACTTTATTACTGTGGTAATTTGGGCTTTTTGAACTTTTTAAGCAGTCTTCAGCCAAGTACTTGTTGTTATAACGTGTTTATATAACGCTTCTAAAGCGTAAGCAAATAAAGTACGAAACAATGTCGAATGGCTGTGTTTGAACCGTCGAAAGTACGATAAAAGGTGATGTCTATGAAATTATCGACGTTTTTAGTTGCTTCGGTTACAACTAAAATTAATAATTTTCGTGTTTCCATATGTTACTACTTTCCACTGTAGTTCCAGTGTTTTTTTCAAGAATCTCATAATGCCACTGGTCATAATTAGTCTGTTTTCTTAATGTCTGTCAGATTAGGCAATGTTTTAATTAACATCTCAATTAAAGGACATTACGATATGCTTGAAACATTATTGGATCTGAAACTGAAACTGTGGCTATCTGGATATTAATTTTTGTAGTAAAACTAAATTCAAATCTCCCGCTGAACCTAATAGGTAAAGAAGTGTTCTGTATTACCAATCAGGACAAGAAGACTTCTTCCAACTTCTTCTGCAATCGGACTGAAGCGGAGGAATGTGTCTTTAACCTCGGTGATATGTGGAAATATTTTCCCTAATATTCCTGCCGTAGATAAGCATAAAATCTAACTAAAACAGATTCATAAAAGGTCGCATGTTATTAGAGTGCTTTAAATATGAAAGTAGGATCCAGTTAACCGGATTTGATTTAATTTTTACTAATTAAAGCCCTGAATAGTTATGTTTTCTGTTTGTAAGCAAACGCATCAACCCACTGGTGTTGAACATGCCATAAGTTGCTTTTTTTTCAATAAAACGGAAAAAAGCCTCGTTACAGCCGGTGCAAATATTCTGAAAGTGTTTAGGCTAATCCCTAACGTAGAGCAAAAGACCAAGCAGGAGAGATATTCAGGTATATACATTGGACCAACAGTAAACTTTATACTTTTCTACTTTTTAAAGTGTCGCTTAATGTGACCACAATTGCCCTACATATAGAAGTACGGAGCATGCGGTTTCTTAAAGCTCCAACTTGCTCATTTTATTGAAAGTCAGTTTGCCTTTTTTACTTCCTACTTGCTCTGTTTAATCTGCTTTATCGTTTTTGAAATATACCGCTTAAATTACATGAACTCAGTCTCGTCTGGTACTGTACCAATAGGCCACAACATAAATAATGTGACTATAACTGAGCTATGTCAGAAATGTGTGTCTTTTATGCAAATATTAATAACGAACAATTACTTTAAAAGGCAGTTCTTGAAGCTACATAATAATGCATACTCCTTTCTTTTGTCCTGCTTCAAAATACATATACGTTCAAACGAAATAAAAATAATCCAACACCTGAGGGCAGAAAGACCGAATAGTTATGCTTAGGTCGATAGCCCTTTTCTGTAGGAAATAAAGATTATTTATATATATCCAACAACTAATATCTTCCTAGACATTTTGTACAGTCCGAACTATTTCTTGGCTCTTTCCACCATTTTATTGATTTCTTCAAAACTGATTTCCTCAATTATTTATTGAACAACACATTAGACCTTCTTAATTTTCTATGTAATAACTTATTCATCAACATGTTACTGGATTTCTCAAAAACAGCCAACAAGAATCTTCTTTTGTATAATTATATGTTTTTCAGTCCTAATTTACTCAATTGCGTATTGAAATATAAGAGTAAAACTCAAAAAACGCTTGAACATGTTCATGTTTATAGCATGTCAAATGTGCTATTGGATACTTTAAGAATGTATTTTTTAATGAAATATTTTGAGGTTTTTAAATTCATTTAGAGACCCAATTTTTGAATTTTTGTCTAATAACATTTACAGTTTACGAGTTGATAGTTATATGCAGTGGTAATTGCAGAAAAACATTATATTCCTGGGAAGTTTTAGAAAACCAATTTAATTTTTATTAATTTTAAGACCAGAGCCGCCTTTTGCGCCCCCGCGTTCCTTTTACTCTTTAAGTCATGCTCTCAGCGAGGGTATTTTTGTTCTGTTTCTGAAGTATCAGAACATTTGCAACTTTCGTGTTGATTGAATTAGTCAGTTGATTAACATTGCAAATTTTCCAATTCAAATTTGGCCAAAATATTATAATTTCTGAATAAATGTTGTAGCCTGAGTTGACGCGTTGACGAAAAAATGTTATAAAATTTAACGATGATGAAGATGAATTGAATTGAACAAATGATAGGTGAAACTTGATTTATACTCTTTGCGAGGTGAAAATCAAGTGCTTTAATTCAGCAGTTTCTGCATATAATCGATATATCTGTTCGTATATTTTTATTATTAAATAATCTACGGATTCCTTATTATCAATTATTCCTACTGAATGGTACTTTAATGTTTGTTTACATTTTTTATTATGATTATTTTCAGAATTTTTTCCTCCTAAATCGAAGTTGGAATGTGTGGCCCAATTTCAGCTGTTTGGCAATGTTATGTCATTGCAACGAGTAACTTTGGCAAACAATCCAAGGGATTCGCTGCTGCTGGGATTTTCGGACGCAAAACTTTCTGTTGTCGAATATGATCCAGAAAATCATGAATTAAAGACGTTAAGTCTTCATTATTTCGAGGAAGATGACATGAAAGTATGCGTTTGTATTCAGTTGATATTTTTCTTTTTTCTGTACTCCATTAATGTCCATTCTAGAATAATGTTTTATTTAAATTAATTGGAAGTTTCTTCCACATCGTCATTTCCGTTTTCAGTTAATAAACCACGTCTTATTTTCTTAATGTAGCTTTTAGTCGACATTTTTCAAAATACGTTTAAGTGGCTCTGCTATTAAAAATGTTCTTACCAATTGTTTCCATAGGATGGTTGGACTCATTTCCACCATATACCAATTGTACGAGCAGACCCAGAAAACAGATGTGCCGTAATGACTATTTTTGGAAAAAAACTAGTTATACTTCCGTTTCGAAGAGAAACGGCTATAGATGATGGAGACTCGGATGTCAAGCCGACTTCTAGTTCTAATGTTGGTGGAAAATCTCCAATTTTAGCTTCCTACATGATCGTGATGAAGGATTTTATTGATAAAATTGACAACATTATTGATATTCAGTTTTTGCACGGATATTATGAGCCGACATTGTTGATTTTATATGAGCCTCTAAAAACTTTTGCTGGGTAAGTACTTGATCAAACTAAAAATCTTAAGATTAATTACGGAGTCTTTTATTAGCTGTTTTCTACTGCATTTATAAAGTGTATGTATAAAATATGTTAAAAGTGAACTTCATAATATAACAAGTTTATTGGGCAAGAGAAATAATTCCAGGTGCTATTTTATGGTAGTACCTCTCTGGATTAATGAGCACTATCATTTGACTTATTTCTTCTTCCTTCCCAAGTAAAAARWATACTAGAGCGCATAATTTATAAGCAGTTAAGTGTGAATTTGCTTCGMGTCTGTCCTCGATAATATTTTGTTCTCCGACCGCAGGAGGACAAAAAAATKTATAGAGTAAATTGTAGCGGCGCAWGTTGTCTCGCGCGTTTATATTTCAGGCTACGCCTTGTATCTCCGGCAAGAAAGACGTTGGGGGCGGCAAAAAATAATTGTTATGTTTATTGGTAGATTCATAAAGCGGCGCGTCACATATATTGAAACTTTATAATTTTTGACAAAATTCTATTCAATTTGATACAACATTTCTGTAACCCAAATCAGTCTTTACGTAAATTAAATTCTAGTTTGAAGCGCTTAAGAGTGGGGTGCTCATAAGTAATTTAATATCATAAATGCATTTACTCACTATACGTACCAGAAATTTGAGCCGATAACTGACGGATCGAATAAAACCGAAAATTAAATATAACTTTTTTGTTTCAGTCGTGTTGCTGTTAGATCAGATACATGTGCGATGGCTGCCATTTCATTAAATTTGCAACAAAAAGTGCATCCAATCATTTGGAGCGTTTCAAATCTACCATTTGATTGCTTAAGGGCGGTACCTATTAAGAAACCGCTGGGAGGCACATTGATATTTGCCGTAAATTCATTAATATATTTAAATCAGAGTATTCCACCTTATGGTGTTTCAGTGAATAGTATCGGAGAGACCAGTTCTAGTTTTCCATTGAGTAAGTATTATTAAAATTTCGGCACTTTTTTGCTTGCACAACTGCAACTTTGGTAAAATGTGTATGTAATTCTTCAATGGTTTGATGTAATTTAGAATCTCAAGACGATGTGAAAATAAGTTTCGACTGTGCACAAGTAGGATTCTTAGACGACGATGCCTTGGTCTTATCACTTAAAGGAGGCGAATTATATGTGCTCACCTTACTAGCCGATAGTATGCGTTATGTTCGAAATTTCCACTTCGAAAAAGCGGCGGCCAGTGTTTTAACTACTTGCGTAAGATCTTGCTAAACACTGCCTGCTGAAAAATGTTACTGTTTTATTGTAATTTGTAGGTTTGTATATGCGAGAACAATTTTCTGTTCTTAGGCTCTCGATTAGGAAACTCTTTGCTGCTTCGTTTTACAGAAAAAGCGAACGAAGTGATCACGCTAGATGAATCTGAAGAACCGAGCGCAAAAAGAGCTCGAAATAAAATCATTGAGCAAGGAGAAAAAGTTTCAGATTCTTTGACTGATTTTATTGCTAGTGATGTGATGGGTATGACAATTAATTAACTATTTCTCAAGAGCTTTAGGCAAATTTTCAATTCTTAGATATAAGAGACCCAGAAGAGTTAGAAGTCTACGGAAACCAAAAGCAAACGGGTGTCCAAATCACAAGCTACACCTTTGAAGTATGTGACTCTTTGCTGAACATCGGTCCTTGCGGGCAGATTTCTGTCGGAGAACCGGCGTTTTTAAGCGAAGAGTTTCACAACAATCCCGATCATAATCTAGAACTAGTTACAACCGCGGGCTATGGAAAAAACGGGGCCTTGTGTGTTCTTCAGAGATCTATTAAGCCGCAAATTGTTACCACTTTTACTTTGCCTGGCTGCTCTAATATTTGGACGATCAAAAGCGGCGATGATATGCATTCGTATCTCATACTCAGCCAAGAGGAAAGCACAATGGTAATACATTTTAATACTATCTCTTTAACACATTTGCTCACTTGTTATCTTCATGTTTAGGTGTTGCAAACTGGCCAAGAAATCAACGAAATCGATAATACCGGCTTTTTGACTCACCAACCGACAGTTTTTGCAGGAAATTTAGGCAATAATAAGTATGTGGTGCAAGTTACTACAGTATCTGTTCGATTACTTCAAGGTGCCGTTCAACTTCAGCATGTACCCATGGATTTATCATGTCCTATTGTGCATGTTTCCAGGTACATTAATCATTGTTTAACGAAATTCATTAAATAGCAGCTTTTAATTTAATTTATTTAAAAAATCAATATTTAATACAATTTCAGCGCAGATCCATATATGTCGTTAATGGCAGAGGATGGTCAAATTATTACGCTTATGTTGAGAGAAACGAGGGGTTCTGCCAAGCTAGTCATCAGCAAGTCGACTTTATCGAATGTAAGTTTTTCTATTGGATTGTTAGTACCCAGTGTATTTATGAATTAATGTTTTTCTAGAGTCCACCGGTATCTACTATTTGCATGTACAAAGACACTTCTGGCCTCTTTACAAACAAAATTCCCGAGGAATTCACTCACGTTCCCCAACACTTTATTACGGACATTTCGGATTTGAAAAATGAAACGGAAAATGAAGACGATTTGCTTTACGGCGACAATGACTTTAAAATGCCGTCACTGAGCAAAGCCGCTCCAAAGCCCAAAGTGTTCTACAATTGGTGGAAAAAATATCTCACCCCTAATAAGCCTACATATTGGCTTTTCGTAGTCAGGGAGAACTCCAACATGGAGATATATTCAGTTCCTGATTTCAAACTCAGTTTTTACGTACAGAACTTGTGTTTTGGACATAAAGTATTAATTGATTCGCTCGAATCCGTTATGCTGAATGCGATGCCACATTCAAATGAAGCACAGATCCAAAGGGAATATGAAGTGAAGGAAATTATTATGGTAAGTTTTGGCTTGAAATATAAAAAGTTATTTCGTTGTTCAAGTTATCTTTTAGGCTGGTTTGGGAAATGAAGGATCCAGACCATTGTTGTTTATAAGATTGGAGAAAGCTCTTTATATTTACGAAGTATTTAGGTTTTACAAAGGAAATCTAAAGCTCCGATTTAGACGGCTTAAGCATGAAATCATCTACAATCCAAATGTGTCCGGGTTCATCGAAACCGAGAATTCGGATTTCTTTATTTTGCAGCAAAAAATCTCAAGACTTAGATATTTTGAAAATATTGCAGGTAATTGCGATTTGAATTTTATAATAAATGTGTGAAAAACGATTTGCCATTTTTAGGATACAATGGTGTGTTCGTTTGCGGCGGAAATCCTTACTGGATATTTTTCGGTAAACGAGGGGAACTTCGAACTCACCCTATGAATGTTGACGGCGAAGTTCTTAACTTTGCGCCGTTCAATAATGTTAACTGTCCAGATGGTTTCTTGTACTTCAACAGAAAAGTAATTTTTGTTGCTCCAATAGAGGCATTATGATGGTTTAATGTGCTGCTTCATATGTTTTAGTCCGAGTTGCGTATCGGCATTTTACCGACGCATCTCAGCTATGATGCCCCATGGCCTGTAAGAAAAGTTCCTCTCAGATGTAATCCGCACTTTGTCACGTATCATTTAGAATCGAAAACTTACTGTTTAGTCACTAGCTTATCTGAACCATCTAACTCATACTATCGTTTTAACGGGGAAGATAAGGAGCTTACGGTGGAAGATGGTAAAGATGAACGGTAAGTTGAATTGTCTTATTTTGCTCGCAGTTATTAATTGAATTCTGAGCACGATATACGGCCCGAAATGCACATTTCTAGAAATTGGCTGTATAAATTATATTTTCCAGGTTTCCTTTTCCTCACCAAGAGAAATTCAGCTTAATGCTATTTTCGCCAGTGTCTTGGGACGTAATTCCAAACACGAAGATCGATTTAGATGAATGGGAACATGTTACGTGTTTGAGAAACGTTCAACTGGAATATGAAGGCGCTCGTTCAGGTTTAAAAGGCTACATCGCTGTAGGGACGAACTATAACTATGGAGAAGACGTTACTTCGAGAGGAAGAGTAATTAAAATAAACCAAATATTTTTTCTGTTATAAACGAATTTTGTTGCAGATTTTGATATATGATATCATTGAGGTGGTGCCAGAACCCGGACAGCCTTTAACCAAGAACAAATTCAAAGAGATTTACGCTAAAGAGCAGAAAGGTCCGGTAACTGCGTTGTCGCAAGTCAAAGGGTTTTTAATTTCAGCCGTTGGCCAAAAAGTGAGTACCTATACATGTACTTGAATATTATTAGCAGCACTAACACATGTTTGGCCTTTTAGATATATATTTGGCAGTTGAAAGACAATGACTTGATTGGTATTGCTTTCATTGATACTCAAGTCTACACGCATCAAATTCTAACAATTAAAAACCTAATACTTATTGCCGATGTATATCAATCAATCTCCTTGCTTAGGTTTCAAGAGGAATTCAGAACACTGTCAATGGTTTCTAGAGTAAGTATTTAGCCTTATTTTAGACGCAAAAACATCTAATTTCTTGCAGGATTTACGATTATGCGAAGTATATGCCATTGAATACATGATCGACAATGGTAATATGGGATTTTTATTGTCGGACAGAGAAAAAAACATTACGATTTGTATGTATCAACCAGAAGCAAGAGAGTCTTTAGGAGGTAGGTTTTTACAAAGATTATCTTTTTATTATGTGTTGCTTTTAAAGGAGTCTCGTTTTAGTTTTTCATTATCAACGTTAACCCACTAGCGCTCAGCATGGTTACATAATGGTTACTGCAAGTTAGTTTTCAAAGCTAAAATGTACCATAGCGTGGGCACTATTTTAATAGATGGGCTTAAAGATCGAATAAAACATGAATTTGCAATGATATTCTGTTTTTGATAATAAAAAAAATGCTCACAAAAGCCTAGCGTAACCATATGGTAACAACATTTTCGAGAGAAACTGTGGCAGAGATTCCAGATCGGTAAAATTAAAATCCCCAAATGGTCACTTAAAAAACCCCAGTTTTTCCTAGATTTTCAAAAAAATATATAAGTGAAACGAAAAGGATATTGGAAACGGTATATTACGAAATTTAAAAAATGTAAAAAATGGATGTTGTTTTACTTCAATGTGTATTCTTCATATTTATTCTTTTAAATTCAAGCTTTAATTTACATATGTATTTGACAAAGTTTATATATAGTTGGGGCAGTTGGAAATCACACTCACTACAGGTGTATTGATTTTTGCATCCCAGTCAGGATTATTTTTCCGGGAAATTGAAAAGACCTTATAGGAGATTATTAATTAATTGAGATTTCTTAAAACAAATTGTGGTTCCTCTCTACTTGTTAACCTTATGTATTCCGATATACATACTAATATTTTCTTCCCAGAATTTATTGTTTTGCAGATAAACAAAAATTTTAAAAAATCCCTTGGTAAATTATAACAAATCCCTTTTTTCTTTTACCTGAGAAAAATCCCTGGAACTAGGGAAAAATTCCCTAGTTCCATTCATCACTGAACTATGGAAAGTTGGAAAAAATGGCCTTGTATTTAGAAGTGATATCACTTCGAGAATATAAAAATTAGCTGAATTTTTCTTTCTTGTGTTATTTTGACCAAGAGATAAGAAGTTTGACAAATTTGTTGCTTTTTACTTAATCACAATTTGTTTACAGGTCAGCGCTTATTAAGAAAGGCAGATTTTCACCTTGGTCAAGCTGTTACCACCTTCTTTAGGATAAAGTGCAAATTAGGGGAACTTGGCGATGATAAAAAACACATGAGTGGTGCTGATAGACGACATATCACTATGTTTGGTAAGACATTTTTATTACTCACCGACTCTTAATTTAAATCATTCATTCTCAGGTTAATTAAATAAACTTTATTTACAACTGTTATATACATAATGACTATGATTTGGCACTCTTTCAAATGTCATAAAGATTTTATTACCGCACTAGTGATTCTGATGATAATGACAAATTTTCATTACCGGTGTTCTGTATTCAATTTTCTAACTAATTATCGGTAATAAATTGAAAAAAGCACTAGTGCGGTAATAAACATCATTATGACATTTGAAAGAGTGCCAAATCATAATCATTATATAATAGTTGTAGGTAAATAACTATTAATTCCCATTTTAGCTACGTTGGATGGTGGGTTAGGTTACATTATGCCTGTTGCTGAAAAAACGTACAGAAGACTGCTTATGTTGCAAAATGTAATGGTTTCCCACGGCTCACATATCGGTGGCTTAAATCCTAAGTCATTTAGGTAAGAAACATTAACATTAACTCTAACTACAAACCATATAATTAATTTATAACGGTTGCAATATTTTCTAGAACTTTCAAGAGTTTTCGAAGATCGCTAACAAATCCGGCCCGGAGCGTTATCGACGGAGAAGTTGTGTGGAATTTTATGCAACTGCCCATCACCGAAAAAATTGAGGTACATACATATACACACACGACCATCCTCTAGTTTTAACATTATTTATCCAACGAAATGCACAATTTCCTTAAATAGTTTTTTATTGGCTCGGACGATACGTATTAAAGATATTCTAATTTCAGATGTCTAAGAAAATTGGCACAAAGCTGGAGGAATTACAGGAAGATTTAAGTGACATACAGAAGTTAACAAATCACTTTTAGGTGGCTGTTCCAAAAATATGTAAGTTCTACCTTAACATTTTCAGCGTCATTCGAAGTTGTAATATATTTTTGAACACTCTTTCCATCCGTTATAATTGAGTTTAACGTATATCGTCCTATTACCTAATACTTACTGGATACCGCGATTAGTTATCAGCAGAAATATTCAATAAGCAATACCTGTAAGTTGCTTGTGTTTGTGATACGTTCGGTGCTGCCTTACCTCTCGGTGAATCAATCGATAAGCAATTTTTTTCGATTAAAATATGACAGAAAACGTTTGTCTTTTTTGTTTTCTTGATTGTCTTTGCACATTTTTTTTTGTTTTTTATGGTTAACTGTTTCACAATTTTATTTTTTTTCGATTTATTTTTAAGTAAGTTATAAGCAATTTGAATTTCTATTTAGCGTGTCAAGAGGACGCGCTAGCATTTGCTGCACGGCTGACGTCACTACACCCAACTTTGATATCGGCTTGCATTTGGTTCGCGTGGTGGCGGCGTTTACTTTTTTGATCAAACCAAGTTTAATGGGTGCTTAGTGAGGTCTAGTTGGTGATTTGAAGAAAATGGCTTATACATATTGTATGGTGCCGGAGTGTACCAATACAAATGGCACGACGTAATGTGAAAGTTTCCAAAAATATATTACAAAAACTTGTATTTTGCTCAGTTTTTGAATCAATCGTTGATGCAAAAATATCATCCGTTTGAAGAAAAGCCATAAAGAACAAAACAAAAAATATTTTTGCAATTTACACTTTTTTATCTTCTCTGTACAGTCACTGGGTAAAATTTATCCACCAGTCCAGTAGTTTATTATTCAATCTGAGGACAAACAGTTGCATACTAAATTTGTATCAAATCAAGGGTAATTCTTTTTTATGTATACCTGTTTTAAACGTGCTCACCGAAAAATACGTAACTCCCCAAACTTATATTAGTGCGAAAACATATTAGTTACGTACCTTGCAGGTATAGTTGGCGACACGTAAAAATAGACGATTCAATAGTTGTTTTGTAAATCTGACTTTCTACCTCGGTCTACCTTTGCGTAAATTACATAATACTGACAACTAGTTTTCATATTATCAAAATTATTTGTAAAAATTGAAATAATTACATTAATCGTGGAAGGACAGCCAACAAAAACAGTAGTTGAGAGATTTCGAAAACCGAAGAGAATGATTTATAAAAAAATTAATTAAATTGTTGAATGAAAACAAGTTTGTGACATACATTGTACCATATATTTGACAAAGCCTGATTTACCAAAATGGGGAAAAATTGCCTTTAGCAGTCGTCTACTGTACTTAATCGATTTTTAGAAGTTATTATATGGTTCTTTAGATATTCCTTTAATCTGTCTGAAAGTTTTATTAAAATCTGTTTGTTAATGGCTGTGGATTCTAAGTAACAAGGGCAAAAAATCTGGACTACCTATAAGACTCCCTGTTAAATCATGAAAATTTGTTTTATTGATATCTCTTCTGATAGGTACCCTAGATGGCTGAAATTTTATCTGTTTGTTAATTCCAAAGCAGACGAACCTCCTTAAATGAAAATACGGGCTACGTGCAGGCCAAACGTGCACTGTGACGTCAGACAATCGCATGACGCCACTTTCATTAGACTTGAAAGCCCATTAACTAGCAAAATATGTTTTTCTTGTAGTGTATTTCTATGCAACAAAGCTTGTTTGTAGTATGTTTTTTAATCAAAAATAAATTTCATACAAAGACCCTATTACCCTGCCCACAATTGAAGCGAATTCTAGGATAAACGCCACAGTTCCTCAATCAAAGAAAAACGCTTGCATAAATTATAGTACATGTACAGTTTATTTACATTGACTTAAAGATAAACGATTAACGGAAATTAAATATACATGTATATAAAAATTATATTACACCGAAACACGTAAAGCTGATACTTTACAACATCAAAAAGTTAAAACAAATATATTTGTATTTCGCATAAAAACAACGTCGTATTTTAAAATTCACAACTACGATCTCACCCACAAATGGAAACACGCAGATTGAGTGTGAATCGTAAATTTTTTAACATTTCCGCAATCAGAAACGATCTACATCGACATTTTACAACCAAAGAAATGTAACTGTACTAGTTCCTTTATAATGCCAGGTAGTTAATGAAAAAGGTTACCCCAACTACAGCACACATGGAGGTTTTAAGAATTCTGAAAATACTTAATTACATTTTGTAGTTAGTAGAGTTAGGAAATTGTAGCAGGTAAGTTGACGAGATTTTGTTTAGCTTCATTATGTTTCATGTAATAATTTGTTGCTTTAGAAATAATTTAATGTGGACTGAGAAACATATTCTGATTATTTCTATTTAATTTGGCTAGGCCAGGAAGACTAAAATGTTTCAAAAAATGTAACAAAATTCACAACTCTTTCCGATTCAACATAAATAAGCGTTTTTGGCAAATATTGGCGTACGTATTGATTATTGCACTAAGTAGGGAGGGCATATAATTACAACGTCACTTAATATTTACACGACCAGTAAAATATGTTCCAAAGGAAAAATCTGCTGTTGATATTCATTAATTAATGTAATATCACTTGGTAATCGTAGACAAAATACACTTTAGAACAATGTGATTGGTTATTCAGGTCAGCCCTCGCTCCAAATGCATTCTGATTAAAGTAATGGTTCTTTACAAATAAATAAGGGATTAATAAATTAAATATACAACAAAAAACTGCACCATTTCCTTTTACATTTCTATGTAGATGGGCAATAATTATCACAAGAAGCCGATAAGATTAATAATTAACGTTATTCGAGATAAATATCGTATTTAGAAAATCGTGCAATTTTCCACTAGAATAGACGGAAAAAGGTTACGAAATAACGCAATTGGTGTCTTTTGCTGGAAGTTCGATGTGCGAGAGATCCTTTTCGATAATCTCATCGTCTTCGATGCTAAAAAATGAAAATATTTGACGCGTTTTGCAGATAAGAATTTTTTTAAATATACGTACGCTTTTTCTTGACTATCTAAATGATGTACCAATTCGTCCCGTTTATTAACAATTTGGACCAGTTCATCCAAAAGGACTTGCTCCCGACTCCGTTGTTCCTCCGTTTTCTTCCAATCTTCTATTGAAGCGATTTCTCTCAACTCTTCATTTAAACGTTTATACCTGGTTTCATAATCCGCTTCTTTTTCCCTGATGTTAGAAATACATATTCAGTTGGAATAACCACGTAATTGTGCTACTTACAAAATATTCAACTGCATTTGTCGTCTTAACAACGCATTTTTCTTGTTCACAAACATAAACCACTTAGACATCAATATTTCTTCCTCTCCATTGCTATTTCCCGGTTCCATTACCAATCGCAACTGTTTCTCCAATAACGCGGCCTGTTCATCAATAGTTCTTTGTTCTCTTTCCAGGTTTTCCATCTCATTGTCTATCCAGGAATGGACATCGATACCCATCTAAAAGTATGGAACAAATTACATATTTAGCCATCATACTATAGAATTTCGTGCTATTTTATTATTTGCAATCGATTAATTCTACTCGCCTCTTTAAGTCCTAAGTCATCTGGCAGTTTGTCTGGAGTTATGCGTTCTGATCGATCAGTACTATCTACTGGGCTATATTTTTTTGAGTATTCTTCCAACTTTGCTGTCATTTCTGAGTAGATATTCCCGTTCTTTTCTGAATCTATAACAAAATATTATTTAAAAGTTCTAGTCATGAACTGATTATAATTACCTGTACTATTCTGTTTTTCTAAATGCTCAATTTCGTCGCCCAATCTTGTCAATTTCTCTTCGGCTTCTTCGTATGCCTTAATAGATTCGGGAGTAACTCGGATAATTTCCGTGGTAGGTCCTGAGCTCTTCTTTACCTCGGCCATTAAACGTCTTGCTCGTTCGCGGAGTTCGTTCTGCCTTTCTTCCTCAGACTATAATCAAGAATGCAATCATTGCGAGATTTGGTCTGATAATTATATCTATAATATCGGTGTGAATAATTTGATGAAAAGTTTAATTTAAAGTCACACACGCAATGTAGGACTAGGACAGACAATAAAATTAAACTAGAATCCAAAATGAGCAATAGCAACATTGATATAGCATATACTCACTTTGGTAGGCGAAGTCGGAGTTGAACTGTCTCTTTTCACCTGTTCCAATAAAGCACGGGCCCTTTCTCGCTGTTCCGAGTGTCGCACTAGGATTTGCTGCATGATACGTGTGAAAAACAATTTAATTCTTTGCCAAACCTTGCTATCAAAAACTTATGTTAGTTACCCAGCTCAATGTTAGTGAACTACCTTTAATATTCCTGTTGGGTTTCAGTCGGGTTAAATAAAATTTCAAGTTGACGGGTTCTACCTTCTTCTATTCGGATGCTTTTGGGCAAAGTAAAGCAAAAGCTGAACAATAAGCCGCATGTATCACTTACCGGATTGGGTTTTGGAAGATCTGCAAATACATCATCTTTCACTTTACTGTCTGTGTTGCTGATTGACCCGTTCATTTCCCCATTTGTTTGAACTTTGTTCAAACTTTCGCCTTTATTTGACGCAACTGGAGGAGGAAGAGGTTCTTCTTCCTCGTCAGAGCCAAATGGATCGACGAGTTCCCTTCTGGTCATCAAAATAGATTTTTGTGCGTCGACTTTTTTCTCATCTGTTTTTTTCGCTTGTTTGTCTTTATTTGGAGACGATATTACCTGTTCGAAATAACTTTCATGATGATTTGCTTGCCAAGAAAGTAGAAAATTAGTAAACTTGCCTTGTTCATAATATTTTTGGAGCCACTGAAAAAAATATCCTTAACATCTTTTACAGTTGTTGGTGATTTTTCTTTGCTATTGTGCCTGACAGGCAATGGCTCAGTTGTGATCTTTAAAGGCAATTTTAATTTGGATGGGTCGCCTTTAGTTACTTCACTGTTTGCAATGTTCATATCACGTTCTGAAACAATTTTATTTTAGTTGATCATTTGTTGAGATTTTAAGTAACATACCTGTAGACTTTCGGCTTTGTTTAGCCTTTCGCAAGTTGATAATTTCCTGACCAAATACTTGTTTTGTGATATCAGTATCCTTGTCAGTATTAAATTTGCCAATAATGTAGTTGCTTTCTTCAGAGGTCCTGCCAATTTGATGTACCTCAAGTTGGTGACCTGTGAAGTGCGCTCGCAGTTGATGAAGATAAGTCATCACGGCTAGTTTATCCGGAACTAGAAGGAATATTTTACACTTAATTTCGGAGGGAAAACGCAAATATTGGCGATGAATTTTAATGCAGGCTAAAGTGTGAAAAGTTCATTTTACTTTTCTATTACCTGCTAACATGTGCATATCGGAAGGCTCTATCACTCTTGGTATACCTAATTTGTCTCCGGCATCAAACGCTATTTTACAATTTGCCTTGATGTCGTGTGGCGACAAAGAATCGAAGTTTCTGAAAGAATATTATATTTACTAAATATTGAAAGTACGTCATTAAACATTTCCTTCCAGAATCAGTGAGGGAATTGAAAGGAATGAAGGGTATTTGAATATTTACATTAATTCGGGGTTAAAGTGATGGATAAGAGCACAAAATGCCATTCCATTTCTCCAACTTGTAGTTAAATTGGTAACTTTGACGCCGGAATAATCTTTCGTCATTTCTTTACACCATTCCAACAAATCTTGACCTAAATCAATATAAGAATTTGTTCTTAATGTTTGCACATAGCATTGCCTCAATTATTTCGTACCTGGGGTTGTTAATTTCTGTTGATTTTTCGGAGTCTCTATCAAATCTCTATCTAACTCTAGTGGCGGTAATTTTATATTACCGCCCCTACTAATCGTTTCCTCCTTAACGGGAGTTACTGTTTCAACTTTTGCAGTTACACTAACTAGGTTTGCTACACTGGGATTCTCCACTGATTCTTCTTCCTCCAAGTCTTCAAGATTTTCTAGAATAGCACAACATTCTTCTGAGTAAATGTCCCGTTCGGTATCTTGAAAATCTGAGGCGTTTGGAAGTGGCATTGTTTTGACTAGCTTTGTTTTAGCCTGCATGGGTGAAAACATTTCGGCCGTTGGAGTTTTATCATCTCGCGATAAAGACTGTATACTGTTTACTATAAACAAAGTAATAAACCACATTAAACTGCAATTTCTCCCCGTGAGAAAATGGTTACTCACTGCTCATTGGAGTGCCAGCATAATCTGACCAGCTTAAAGATGTAGTCATTTGCTGAATATTATTAGTAACTTCATGAAGACTGTTCTTCATCAAACTACAATTTTGAGAATAATCTTCATCATCCACGTCTTCCAAATGTGCTATATCGTCGCTGTTGTTGTTTACTGACATTAAAGACGCCATCGATTGCATGTCTTCATCGCTGCAGTTTAAAAACGCATATTTAAGCTCAAATGGTGAGTGCATACAAAATATCAACTAACGTTGCTCGTCCTTCTCGCAAGAATACACAGGAGAGTGTAAGGTCTAATTTAGCTCCAGTGATTTTTTTAGTTGTTGGCTTGAAGACAATTTGGAGTTCGGTTTGCGAAGACTCCACACTAGCGTATTTTCTCATGTTTAAATGTGCTGTCGCCAATTGGCGTCTTTTTCCTGCCGTTGGCACCTAGTATTTAAAAATATTGCTTTCAAAAAAACAACCGAGAGTTACACACAGTGAAACATTTATTACAATTTCGGAGTTGGTAATTATACTTTTTTCTGATTAAGCCTCAGACTTAAACTAGACAAGTAAGGAAATGAATTAGAAAAGAATCATCTCTTTATCATTATTAGTGCAGTATCAAATCGTCATCATCGGCCGCTCAATAACCATATTCATTTGAAGCATGAAAACATTAATTTAATTTGGAGGCTTCTAAGTGGGTCACTTAAATAATTTCGCGTGTAAACAAGCTGGAAAATAGTCAAACAATGACGCTTAAGACCAAATTAATTAACCCCCAATGATCCTCGGAGCACTCGAAAATATTTCCTTTCATTGATATTTCAGTCAATTAGAATGTAGAAGTTGGGAAAATAATTCGTACAAACAACTAAGTGTAATGACATAAAAATACTCTTTATTAGCATCAAAATCCGTGCAGTTGGTTGGCTTTATATTAGGAAGCAAGTGGGTTTTGGTTTGATAAATAATTGATAAGAAATTTATTTCAGACTGTATGCAGACGGAAATATTACAATACATAGTCGCGTTCACAATTAATTGATTTAGGAAACCTTGAGAAACATAGTAGTAATATCAAGTGATAAAATTACAAAATCTCCAAGTAGAAATTTTAATTGTTTATATTTATAATGCGTTTTATTTTTTGCGACTTATTGAAGATGTAGCGTTTTAGTAAGAAAAGGCAAAGTTGAAATTGCGAGCCTTCATAAAATGTTTCATTGTCAACTGAAATGCACCACATTCTTGGCAAGGAATTTTAAGTTATTACCCTGCAATGTAGGTCAGGACCTAAAAATACCGCCTGTACTTCTTCCTTAATGAGGAACTAAAAATATACGCAACCTAAAGGATACTTTAACAGGTACCCTTAAAAGCTTTTAAATCTTCGTGTCTAAGACAATTTGTGGCTTTCCGCAAATAAATTAGGTTTTAGTATATTTCCACTAGATTCAATTACGAGTCTATTAAGTGTAGTTGGAATAATGTTTACAACAAACGCAGATGTAATTCAAGATAAAGACAATAAACAAGATCGTCGTTAGAGTAATTAAAAGCAGTCCAACAACGCAAGCAAGCCGATACTTTTAAGTATTTGTTTATTAACAGCTGAACGAACCATTTGGATAATATTCAATTAAGAACACGCGGCTACAATAATTGTTGCTTTATGTGGTGGCAAAGTGGTATATTCTGTACCTTGTAACATTCATTTTTCAGCAGAAATTGGACGTTAATTTGACCTTTCATTAACTTTTGGTCTAGGTATTGCTCAACAAAGGCAATTATTTTTATTTAAATTGCCACACTAATACAATTACGAAAGTGAGGAAACTGGAATGAAAAGTGAACGTATTATCATTGAATTGTGTCACTGGTGAAAGAAATAAACATTTAAATAGGATAGTTATTAGATATTAGATTCGTTTCTCAAATAACTTACATCTTCTAGTATAAAAGTCCAATCCTTATCTTCTAACTCGTTTGTCCGTGGGTCTTTAAACAGTGTTATCGCTACTTGGTGATTTTCTGGGACGGCCCAAACTACCAACCCTTTAAAAGGGTTTTGTAGGGTTGGTTCCCAAGCCGCAGGGCTGGAACTTACTCTTCTGGACCTTCGCGACCATACCAGTGATAATCGATGAGGTTGCCTAAGTAATCAAAAATATCTTGTTTCATTCATCAATTCGATGTGCCTGTTTTTCTTTAGTTTAAAAAAATATACAGGGTGTCCCGGAAAATGTGGGCATGCTCTCGGATTTGTACAGGGGACGAAAAAATACGGATACAGACCTCTAAAGGAATAGAATACTTCATGCGATTTAATTATTTTTGTATACAATGAACAGTACATCATTGCTCTTAAAAAGGACCCATGAAAATACTTTTAGCATTTCGGTTTTCCAGGGATGGACTAGGGGGAGCGCAGTAGTAGTTATTTTTTTTACCCTTTACAATAAAGTCACGAAAATAATGTACTTAGGCAGCTTTAACCTTAAACTAAAAAAAATACACTCTTGATTCATATCGATAAACAGAACGATTTTCGAGTAAAAATATTTTTATTGGCGCTGCTATGCCACTGTAATTTTAGGCACCTCACAAAACGGCGTTAAAAATCGTCATTCATTGTATAATTGCCGAGCTTAAGAAATGTTAACTTCTTAATTATTAATAAACTGAACTGGCGGTCTTGGTTGAAACATTTAAGGCGCAATTAATTAAGTTTCTTTTGTGGCATTCGTATTTTCCAACAAAGAGCTATGTTTCCTTATTCACATTGCCTGATAAACTTGGATCCATGTAAAGAACTTCTGATTTACCAGCATACTAATGGAGTCTCAATCTGAATATTTAACGTATAGTTTTTACATTAATTTTCAACCACCTGCAAGGTTTTATCAGATATCTTAATAAGTACAAGATGCCTTATATGGATGATGGAAGGAATCCTAGATCAATGGCTTTGAAACGAGATATAATAATAGTTTTATTAAAACGCTTGTCATTGTGTTACATTTTAAATAAAACTTTCCCCGAAACTGCCTCTTAAAATACAATAATATAACTTGCATGAAAAGGCATGATAGTAGCCCATAACAGTATGCATGTTTTCCTGACTGCATGCAGGAAATCTCGTATAACTTCCTGTTTAAAACTGTTTCAGTAGCATGTGCCTTCTAGCCTTTAAATTTACGTCTACTTAATACCGTTTTATAAGTAGTATTGACTGCACATCCTGAATTTAAAGTGGATTTTATGAATTATTTATGAAGTGAAGTATTATTACTTTACTTTTACTCTCCGTGGGTCGCTGGTGAATAATAAAGTAATATTTAAGTATCATTACAATCACAATCGGCAGAATAACTAGGTTGAAGTATTGCGCCATTTAGTAAAATTCTTCAGTAAAATCACATTCAAACGAAAAATCATTAAATGAGCTTTGTAAGTCCATTTAATTTATTTGAGGGGAACACTAGTGTTTTAATTTAAATCTTGTTTACGACTACATTATCATAATTTAATCCCACAACAGTATTGTTTCTGTGGTGAGGTTGAGATATTGAACCACAGAATATGACATGTTGAAGCTCAGTTCTCGACGCAAAGCAAATATTAAATTGATTTTGTATAATATCTTGAATTACTCATTGACTCCGATTGCAGTAGTTCCTTATGAACATGAAACGATTTTCGGCTAATAAATTGCTCTCGAGATAAGCAAGTCAAAAAGACATCTCAGTAGTCTTATCTTTCACTTATATAACGAATAAACCCACAATAATGTAATTTACTACAAGTAAACCTGATAAACATGCCGTTGAATTGAATGAAGGTACTTAGTTCGTTTAAGAACATTTCAAAGGTCATATCTCAATGATGTTGGGTGGCATTGACTTTGGGAGAAGGTTTTCCGCTAAAAATACACATTTGTATCAAGCATACATACGAGTCCAGAATCATAACATTTGGCCAGTTGATACATATTTTGTTTTTCGCTTAACTTTAAAATTATTACCAGCGAGTTGCATGTTAACTACGAAGACAAAAAATCTACTCAAATCCAACTATAAGTATTGTAATTTAGCAGAATTTTATTCTTAGTTGCCATTCAAATTCATATTAGAAGTATCCTTCGAAAGACACATTTCATGAATTAAAAGGGTTACTAGGGACTTAAAATTCAAAGATTTGGAAAAATACTAGGTTTGTAGATTAATTTACTTAATATAAAATTGTTAGTCACTGGTATTTATTCAATTTTATCTGCACTTTTCTAGTACTAATGATAACATTTTTTAGAGAAAACCCTCTTAAATTCGAATATAAACAATTTAGTTTAATATACGTAATTTACTTATTTTACGACTACTAATAATCTGTAAAATAAAGTAACAAACTTCAATACTGGCTGTACCAAATGATATAATCCTGGGCATGTACGTGATTTAAGTACTTTTTTGATCATTTACTTAAGTACTTTCTAATCTGCACTATTCGAAACATTGTATGAATTTGAATATTTAATATCGAGAAAAACTTGGTGAATCTTTCAAAGTAAGGAGATGTAAGTCATAGATCAGATAAACTACAGGGTAATTAAAAATAAAGTAAAAATTAACCTTTCAATCAAATTACGAAATATGTTAGGTACATAATTATTATATTTTGCTATATAAACTTTATCAGCAAGGAAAAAATATTCAGTATTTTATGCGGTTGGTTAACAATAACAATGTCGAAATTGGTCTTTACGAAATTAAAAGGGTTTGTCTTTCGCGATTGTCCTTGTTTCGTAAAAGTTAAGTAGATATATCTTCTTAAAATGCAAAAGCAGTTGAAAGCCAGTTTTTTTTCTTAAAATAAACCTCTTGGTCTAGAGCCACATTTTCTATCAATAAATGCGTCATTCATTGGTGACTTTGGCTGCCTAGAAAATGTTGTCATCTAAAATATCTAACGGGTTTAGTGATACTGATTAAATTCTTATATTACGAAGCATTCGACCGCTACCGACCCTTTTTTTCTTGTACAATTATTGTTTCAGGTTTTCTGTTTTCAAAAAACGCGAATATACGATGACTTGGCTTAAGTATAGACTATTTTTTATCGTTAACAGTCTACTTTGCAATGGGTTTGAATCTACATATGCCAAAGTGTGGAAACTCTCAGATTAAAAATATGTATTAATATCTTTGTAAAAAACTTTCCTTAAGCAGATCTCTTTAACGCAACAGAAACATATTCAGGGTGTTTGGTAGGCTCATGAATTTCTTGCTGGCGGTTATCATATAGTAATTTTGAATTTATTTTCCCAAAATGCGCAAAAACTATGAATGCTACAAGATTTTACAAAGAGCACAAAATTGTGAATAAATGATTAGTGCATCAACAAAAAAAAATAGTTGATTCCATCCACCAAATAAAAAGTTCTGGTAGTTTTTGTACCGCGACACTCAAGAATTCACCACTTGCCCAAAACGGCTGAATTCGATTGTTTCAAAATATGAGTCTTACATAAGAACAAATTTACAGCAAGTTTCACCAAAATACAACGTACCATTCTCCCGATATTTCAAAAAAGATAAATTTTTTGAAGAACTTTGACCATCAATTGCAGAGGAGCCAGACATTTTTTTTACTTAATAACAGTTAGGTCAGATCGTCTTCTTTTGAGACAAAGAATATCTTACAGGACACCCTGTATATCAAAATTTTCTAGTAGGTACTAAAACCTTCAGTAATGCATGAACAAAATTACCCCGTACTTTAAATTTGCTGCCCAATCTAAACAGAGTTTATTCATTTGGTCTTAAAAACCTGAAATATTTCGGATGTTTATTTTATCGGTAGTTGCAAGCGCTAACATAAACAAGATCAATAAAAGGTGGTTTTTTGCACAGCCGGCTATCAACATGTTAAGGTTTGTTAGATTTTCGATCATTTGGTAATTATATTCGGAAGTTAAATGTTCATCGTCGGGTTACTTTAGACGTAAGAAGTGCAATTTAAGACAATAATTCATCTAGGCTTAAGAAACTAGTTCACTGATGTAACTTTACATGTTTCGGGAGTGTTTCTGTGTCTTTTTTCGTGTTAGAACATCAAATGTGTTAAGTGCCCAATGGAGAACTTTTTAATTGAACTGTAGTGACTTGATACACCAGCATATTTCGGTAAGTGCTTGCACTTGAATTGGGAGCATGTAGGAAGTATAAAATGTTATGACAAATTTATTATTGAAGTGTTGGAAATTCGTAACATTCGCGAAACCTTTCTCTGCTTCGTCAATTAGTATAATAAATTTAATCTGTGTTTGATTTACGTTTTCTGAAATTTTTCATTAGCTTAAAGTCATCACGTTACCGTTTAATTAGCAACATTTTCTATTTTGGAGTCATCGATTTTGGAATATGACGATAAAAACGAGTTACACACACTGATGATTGAACGTTATCAGTTTCATTTCGAGTCATTTTTATAACAGGTATGATGTGACGGTACGTAATTAACTACTTTACTTGAATAATTGAATTTTGCCGTCTAATAATAAAATTTCCAGTTTATTTCAAATTACTTATCATCTATTATGTACATCAACAACAGTAACACGACGAATATCTGTAGTTTTAAATACAAGCGGGCATGTGCGTTTTGCTGTTTTCATTTTAATAAAAAGCTATAAATTTAGGAAAAAATGCTCACGACTCAAAACTCACGACGAGAGTTTGGCTGATAAACTTCTGGCTTTTAATTCAAATTTGGTAAAGTTTACAGGGTGACCCACAATAAATGGGCAATCGCTCGGTTTCGTATATCGAGTGTCTATAAAAGGTACGATAAAAATGCGGCTGCTTCAAATTCCTAATGCTGAAACTAACTTCGAAATGTGAAAGATTTCGAAGTATGTTTTAAATTCAACTAGGTTTTAATTCATAAATTTTCTTTTCAAAAGCAGGTGTATTGTCATAATAATATGCTAGAGGGTTTTTTTGGGGTCAAATAATTATATGGGCTTTAATTTTATTAAATAAAATGCTGAAAGTTTACTTTGCGCGCTTTTATAACCGAAGTCTAACTTCTAAATAAAATTTCTTATTCTACATCGAATTTTAGGTACCTAAAAAGGTGATTTGAGCAGTTGTTCTTCAGATATCTGGGTTTAAAACATTAATTTCATGATTCAACAAAAGAAACTGCAATTACATTTTTTCTCTATTAGCTCCAGAACTTTCAATTTATATTTTCGGACGTGCAGGAAAAAATGTTGGTTCTTTTGAACATTTGTTACACGCATTTATTTTTAAATAAGTACCTACGTCCTGTTGCTTATAAATCCCGAAATTTATATATCTGAAGTCCGGCTGCTGAAATCAACTCTTAGCAATTATTTTTATGCAAAAGAAGTTGGAGATTAAGCTAGTATATTTAAAATCAAAATACAGTGTGGCCCAAACAAATTATTTTGTTTTAAGCGAATGTGTGCAAAGTATTGCAAGTGGCTCCCGATACCTACAGCTCTTAATGAAAATAAAAAGCAGATTTTAACTCTTCACCCCAAAACCTTCGCTGGATATTGTGACAATGCAATAATTTGTAGAAAAGGGAAAGTAAATTGCACTTGACAGGTTAGATCGTCATACAATCAATTAAGACTTAATCGCTTAATAATTTTATGGCAGCTTTTTCTTTTCCTTTTAGAGACCACCTGTAGAACACAAAAAACTAGTATGACAAGTTTTTATAACATTTTTTCCTCCAACCCCGTCCTGCGGATACACAGACTCTAACAAAAAACCTTTTAAAATCACTTTTAGATTTAAATTATAAAATAATTGTTATGATAGTACTTATAACGTTATTGCCTGATTCAATATTTACGTTTGAATCGAAGAGATAAAAATGAATATTTTTAGCAGCGCATGTTGAACCTACATTCAAAATAAACCGCCTTGGTTAAAAATAGCTTGTTTTCAGAAATGTTCATTTTATTGATATCTCCAAGGAGAACTTTTTTTTAGTTAAAGCTTCAAACTATTGACAAACATTATTGTTGTGCTGCTATCATACACGGTCTAAAAAATGGCTTTACGTGCTGAAGCTAAGCCGTCAAGTAAATGAAACAAAAATATATTTAAAAAAATCAATTTTCGTAAGTTTTTTTGGAGAGTTTCTACCTCGCATACTCTTTTTATCTTGCCCAATTAAAATTATTCGGAGACACCCCATGTATGCTCAAAAGGTTCGTATATACAGGGTGTCCCGTAAGCTCCTGATCAAAAGGGTACTGCGATATTCTTTGGACCAAAAGAAGACGATCTGACCTAACTTTTATTAACAAAAAATGTCTGGCTCCTCTGTAGCAGAGGAGAGATCGTCTTCTTTTGATGCAAAGAATATCGCAGTATCCTTTTGATCATCTGCTTACGGGACACCCTTTATTTCTAATGAGAATATGAGAACATGTTTTGTCGATTATTATGTATTAATTTACTCGATTAGTTATGACATGATTATTGAATTAAGTGACGAGCACACTGAGTACACAGGTTGTCCCGAAATTGCTATTGCTATTTCGCAGTGTTAACCGAGGTGTTAATAGAGTGATAATGTGGTATTAATTCAATTACATATAAATGGCAACTAGTTAAACTATGGAGAATTGTCTTACCATTTTGAGCTAAAGTCCACTGAAAGCTGATGATAGGACACAGTAAACTGGAACTTGGCAGCTCGTTTATTAACTCTTTGCAGCCTTTTCCAGACTGAGCCCATATTGTGGCCCTCCAATCCCACACACGACTGCATGGTGGAAAATTAAACTTTAACACAAACCGAACAGTTCACACAACAACACCTACATAGCCAAATAAACACACAAACCATGCATAAAATAAAAGAAACAGGATGGCCATATCACATTGATGGTGCCTATCACTTCTGTTCAGTCAGGAAGTGCTTTAACAGTCCTGTATTAAGCTGGCAACTGAATATGAGGCTCAAATAGATTATAAATCATGCGAATTGCGATATTTGCGAGTACTTTGACACTAAAAACCAAATTACACAAACTGAATCACTTGAAAACTGCGGGAGAAGGGAGTTGTGTATTTTCCACGAAGTTTTGGTTGATCCGTGCACTCACATACCTGGCTGGACTGGCTTTAACTAGTTACGCATTGTAATTGGAAGTTTTTCTTATGCTTATTGTTTTTCGAACTCAGAAGTCAAGTCTATGCTATGCTGTCAATACTTTATTTATAGAATGATTACCTATCATAAATAATTTTGTATTGGACTTGTCATTGTCAAAAATCGCCAGTCAGCGCGCCATCTAGGCAATTAGGTATAGTTTTCCGGTGGTTCCTTGAAAATTTTTGCAGTAGTTTGTACATTTTTGCATAGAGGGTACTAGTCAAGAATGTACTTTATTTGAAAGTTACAACTGAGAATCAACTGAGTAGGCAAGAAATATAACAAATAAACTATTAGCCATCGAAGATTAGGGTTTAAAATGTTGAGCTTTAGCTTAATTGTGATATCAGTTTTAGAACTTCTTCAGTTGCTAGCCTATGCAAAATTAATGGTGTTTTAATTATTATTCATTCTTTCTCTAATTTTGTTTGAAATATGAAAAAAATATCATTGTACACCTACAGAGCTAATGAATCGTTTGGTAAGTATTAATTTGCTCAATTGTGCACGACTGCTGGCTGCCTCAGTTCATTGACTTTCTAATAGCAATCACTATTGCAAAGGTATATCAAAACTCGTCATATTCTAATTATTATAATTTTTAATTAAATTATATAATTGGCGCCTTCACCTAACCGTCCATATCAAGTATGAAACACTGTTAAACTTCGTCATTTTGTCTGCACTAGAGGTTGGGGTGGGTTCTGTCGGCACTAGAGGCTGAGAAAGGTGTCTCTCTGACATTTTCACCCTCTGGAATTCACCAATAGAATAAAATTGAAAATACCCAGATGATATATTTTCAATACTTATCCCATTCTCATCATAATTACAATTAACCCATAAAGAACTTACACGCGTTCATAGATATCCATAGAGAAACCAAAACTGAAAATACTTTATTTTATTTTCTTTGTGCACAATTAATTTGATATTTCAATCCGCTGGCTGCAGTCAGCTGGGCTCCGGCTACATTTAGCTCATAATCACATGTACGAGTGCTAATTAGTGTCCATATTTAAAGACAAGTATGGTGTCGTTTCTACTATTTCCTGTATGGTCTTAAGTTTTCAACCTTGAATAAATTACTTTCTGATTTTGATTGAGATTTTCTCGAAAAGTATAAAAAAGTATATAAAAAGTATTCTCAAAGACACCCGGTGTCCCGTGGCACCAGGTAGTGTTGGATTTGTACCAACTAAAAAAACCCCAAGTTTTGATTGTAAGTTTTCGGGAGTTACTCTTTAAAACTGATAGTCTTCTTTAATAATGGGTCAGCTCTGGCATCCATATGCCCTCAAATCACATTCTCTCCATACTGGCTACTTGCTAGTATGGGCATCTTACTAATTTTAAACAAGCACTACACACGCACTACTTTTATCCCACTACATGCACTAGGTTTCACACTTTCAACACTTTGCAGCTTGCTGTTTTACCTGTTTGGGGATCAAAGGGAAAATGGAAAAAATCCATTTTGATGCGTGGTAAACACAATTAATCATAGAAATAATATAGAGAATTGAAAATAAGTAAGCCCTAATAAATTTGTTTTACATATTTTGCAACTATAAGCTGAAGGGAGATTCGTATCGTCTTAACATCAAGAATGCGTTGCGGGATAGAAAATAAGAAGACGGAACCCATGTTTTCTGAAATAACCGAGGTAAACTCAAATACGTTTTCAATTAAATCCAAAACATATTTATTATATATTATTACAAAACTGTAATGATGTTTATCATTTTATGTTAAATATGAAAGATTACAAAATAGATATCTAAATATTGATAGTTTGTTGTTACAAAATAAAATAACAAATAATAGAACATATTATTGCATTAAAAGTTCTTAAGAATAGTTGTGACACTTTATTTGCACTTAATCTTGAGCGCTTTTCATAAATTGACCCTGCCTTCTTTAGAAAATATCCGCTCAACATCTGGTATAACAATTGTCTCCGACGAAAATCACTAAACAAGTAGGTAGTAATATTTTACCAGTTCGGAACTTTGAATCGTGCAATGCGATGCAAATGGGCATCATCTGGGCAGCATCTGGACTACAGACGGAGAGTAAGATATAGAGAATCGGTACCGGGATTCTATCGATACGATTTAATTTAATTTAATCTTTTCTTGATATGAATTTGCGTCCACAATCAATCAGGCGATTTAAAATAGGTCCAACAGTTTTTCAAAAACTTTATTGTAGTGGATCTTAGGCACACTTTTGTTGCACAATATCGATTGTTAGTTCTTAAAACAATGTTTAACAGTGCACACCAATGTGCAATCTCATTTGAAATGATAAATACCCGGTCGTTTGAAGATGATTTTCAAAAGTTTGTAATGCATTTTTCTGCAAATTGATGGACGATCTGCATTTTTTTGCACTTAAACTGCTTTAGTGTGTGTACTTTAATTGTAAATTTAAAAGAAGGCGAAACTCGAACAGGCATTTAGTACATGAGCACCCTTTACCTAATATTTGCAGTATCTGCAGCTTCTCCCTTGATAATTTGTTGATTCATTGTTATCAGCGTTATAAAATAAACTGCACCGAACACACTAATATCACACTCAATAATTGATAAATCAAAATCACTGTCAGTTTAATAACGCAATGTGTATTTGAAAAGTTTATCAGATCTACAGATGCACCCGCACTAAGAGAAAAATGTCGAATTCAAAGTGCATATGTGCGTCCCAAGCCTCAGGCCACAGGCGCGAAGAGGCCGGAGTGGAGACCGAGAAAAATCGGTTCACCCTCCCATAAAAAATTATCACTTCAAAAACTTACCTTTAAATCTCTTTACCCAAACACACTTGAAGTCTAAGCTGTTTTTAAGACATCAACCGTCAATGGGAGCGAATAATTTTGCGGCTCTGCATACCATATATGGATCAATAAAAAATAATTTTTACTCTAAATGAAGCAGCGAATTATCGTTTATCGTATTCAGAAATCGTACGTTTTTCTGTTTACTTATCTGTTTTTGCAACAGATCATAGTTTCTATATTTTTGCCTTATTTACCTTACGACCTTCTTCAGCACATAAAGCCAGTTTTTACATCCTACTAATTGAGGAAATTAAACAAAATTGTACTGTATTCATTTAAAAAGTTTAATTCTAATACTCGTATAACAATTCTACATTTTTCATTTTCAATAATTACCCTTCAGTCAACTGCATCTAAGGACTTAGCGCTTTAGATTTGTCGGAACAAAGTTAGTAAAATATAGATTTAAACTGATAATTTTTAAGTCTTTGGTTATTCTTATAACGCTACGCTGATAAACCATAGCCTTTCTAACGTAAACTGATAAAACTAGTACTAATACGAATTAAAATAACTATGGTTCAGATTGATTGCAACACCATGTTTGTAGTGTATGGAAAATTATCCCAATAAATGAAATTCTTGCCAAATTAGGCGAAATATTCATTCTAGATCCAAACCATATTTATGACTTTAAAAAGTTAAAAGCATATCGATTTCCAGTTACAGATATATCTAAATCAGTCAAATAAATGCTATTTTTATACTATACATTTAAGGTTCGAGTTCAACTCTTCGATAACAGCCCTCAGGCAAAGAATTTACTATTTGCGCAATATTATGCACATCTACTTCTAAGGCGCTGATTTGCTTCTTGTAGCTTTCAATTAAATCGTTTTGCGATTTATGCTGCTTTTCCAATTCTTCCAGTTGCTCTTCCAACTTGGTCTCTTTTAGTTGTAGCTCAGCAATACGAAGGGCTTCTTCGAGTCTTTCAAGTTCTTCTTCGTTTATATCTGGTGTATTTTGCAGTTCCGTTATGATACTTTCTACGTCGTTTAGCAGTTCGGTTACTCTTGATTGGGTTGCTTCTGTATCTTTACCAGCTCGACCAACCTTTACAGATAGATATGATACGATAAATGTTTTCGTAGCTGAATAAAATTTACCTTTTCTTTAGCGTCGTGCACTAAAGTGTTATTACTCGAAGCAGTTTCCAACAAGTTTTTCAATTCGGCTTCAGTGTTCAGAACGCGATCATACATAAATTCTGCCTCATCACTTAAGAATGTTGTATTATGTAGCAGTTCTTCAGCGTCCAGCTTAATTTTTTCCGTTTTCGTCGATGCATTTCTAGCTAAATCGTCAGCGTCAACGGCTTTTCTAAGGGCTATATCGGCGTTGTCCTGGGCGTCTTCTAGGGTTTTCTGTGCTTGATTGGTTTGCTTGTTGCTTTCGTTTAAAATACTTTCTATTTCCGGAATTGTGCTTAGAGCCCATTCCGCCTTTTCTTTCGACTCCTGTGTTTGCGTGTCGAATTCTAAAAAATAATTACTTAGCAACTATTAATTATTCTTTATTAAAAAACCGACCAGTTATTAGCTGGAAGTTAACTTCGGCTCTCTCCAAAATCTCGTTCCACAATTGCACAGTTTTGTTTGCTTGTGAACCACAAAACACAATATCGTTCTTCAATCCTTCGATATCCTCTTGCTGTTCCAGAGCGGTGTCCAATAATTCTCGACCATCGGTGGATTTTTCTTCGATTGAATTCCTTAGATTATCAGCGGTTTCCAATAACGATTTTGACTTATTTCCTAATCGGAATGCTTCGCTTTTCAGGTCGTTGGAAAAAGCTCTTAAACTGGACACGTTTGTTTGCGGTACTAAGAGATTGTTTACATCATTTAAAAGTCCCAATGCGTCGTTTTTAGCCTGTAAAGGAATTTTACTCATGGTACAATTTGAGCCTGACATGCGATAGCAAATTAAAATAGTTAATATAATAAGTTCTAACCTCTCTAGCTCCTTCGGTGACTTGTCTTGTCCATTCTCTGGTTCTGTTTAATTGCTGCTCCAGATTTTGGGTTTCCGCTTTAAGCTTTCGTGCATTTTCGCTTATATTTTGCTGCATTACGTGCGTAGTTTTAATTTTATCGTATGCTTCTATGGACAAATTTTTGGCTTGTTTAGCATCGTCTACCAGTTGAGTAGCTCTTTGATCTAGATCATCCGCTATTTCTCGGGCTTCTTGGGCAACTTCGGTCATTTTGTCGGACTGTTGTCCTACTACTTTAGATCTGAAGGAAACAATTAGGTCGATTACATTCAGGAATAAATTGTAAAATTTTACGAACCTCTCCCATGCCGCTTGGAAAGCTTTTTTGCCTTGCAGGTCAAAGTTATCTTCGACTTCCAGCAATCTTTCCTCTACTTCAATTAAGAATTCTTCGGCATGGTCCAGATTGTGTTCCGCTTTTTTCGATTTGTCGTTTGTTGTGAATATGTTTTCATCAATTTCCTCCAAAGTTCTAGCAACATCTTTCTCTCTCTCCTTGATGTTGATGATTTCCTATGTAATAAAAGTGGTGTGATGATTGGATTTTTTTATACGGAAACGTGGCATTGCGTTATACTTACGTCAAAAATGCTATTTTCCCCAGTTGCTGATTTAACTCGGTCATGAAAATCGTCAATTTCGTTTTCCAGTTTACCGAGTTCGTCCGGGAATTCATCATCATCAATAACAGTAGGCTGATGCTCAACTTCGTTCAAAATTTCATCTAATTGATCCAATTTGGCCGTATGGTTTCTGTAGGCATCTTGGACCAAGTTGTAACAATCTGGACAATCTGAAAAAAATGTTCATTTTAGTTTGACTTGCATATGTTGCCTTTTTAGCAGCTTTTAGTTACCTATGCAGCCTCTCTGTCGGTCATATTTATTTTCTTTGCAACGGTTGCATTTCCTTCCCTCGACGTTGTCTAAGCAGGGACATTGACCAGTAGCATCGCACTGACGATCTTTGGAGCCGATTCGATCACACTCGCATTCTGTGCATCCGTCAATTGAAAATCCAAATTTCCGAGCTTCACAGTGATCACATCTTAGTCTAACGATCACATCTTAGTTAGTTGACTCGCAGTTTACAATTTGATATTGATGTATAATTTACCCTGTTACTCCGCGCCTGCAGTAACACTGTCCCGTTTGTAAGTCGCAGGTTTGATTGAAAGATCCCACTGGATCGCAGTTGCAGCTTTGACATCCTTCTCCAGACAGTATATTGAAGAATCCACTTTCGCACTTATTGCAGTTGGTACCAACTACGTGGCTCTTACATTGGCACTCTCCGGTTGTTTGGTCGCAAATGGGTTCCCCTTCGAAGTCGTCTGTTCCCTGTCGGAAACACTCACATTTCTTGCAGTCTCCTTTTGGTAGGACTAGGGCGTTGCCGAAATATCCTAAGAATCAGATGGTGATGGCGCAAATAATTTACATTTATTTGCCGACAATTTCCTACCAGGTAAGCAAATATCGCACGTAGGTCCCCCAGTGTTGTGGATGCACCTCAAGCACTCTCCAGTAGTAGTGTTGCAGTTTCCTATCGCATTAGCGTCAATATTCTGGTTGCACTCACATGGTTGACATAAGCTGGAAATTCCAAATTTTCCTAACGGATCTCCGAAGTACCCATCTGAGCACAGGTCACATTTCAGGCCGGAATATCCCGTAGGACATTCGGTACACATTGTCACTTCGTCATCTATTTGCGTGCATGCTCCACCATCCGGACATCCGCATGGTTGGCAATCTTCAGGAGTTCCTAAATAAAATCATTAGTTTAGCTTCATGGTCAACGATTTACGTTTAGCAACTCGGCACCTTCCAGGGCATTTCCATAAAATCCTCTGGAGCACAAGTCGCAGTTTTCACCGGTGGTATTGTGCTGACATATGCAACGTCCCGTTTCAGAGTCACAAATACTCGCATGGTTATTGCAATCGCATGGAATACAGTTCATAAATGGTCCTCCCATTGCCGGTGTATGCCTATATCCAGGTGCACACGACTCGCAATATTGACCCACGTAACCTGAAGAAGGT